AGTTTTAAGTCAACATATTTTATTCCTCTAAATGTTTAACAACCCCAGACATTGGTAGTCTACAATGGTGTTAAATGGTTTGAAATGTTTTATTTAAAGTAACTTATTTAATTTTAATATACATCACATACATTCTCAAACACAGCTATTTTACTTTATCCCATAATATAAGCAGGAAGTAGGACCTACTCTGAATGTTGGGGCTGTATGGGTCCTCAATCTTGATAGCTGGATCCAAGACTCTGTAGATGACCTAGGTCAGGAAAACACACATTATCCCCCCACAAATGACTGGTAGAGCTAATTTACGCTACGCACCATGAGCCCAAATATTCACAGATCCAGAAAGGCTTAACTGGTACATTTGATCTGAGCACAAGAGATGCTGGTTATGCTTTGATATGCTTAGGGCTCATTTAAAAACTGAACTTTTTTTTTTTATGTCTTCTCCACACAAACAGATTTTAATCTGGCATACTGCACTCTCCAAAACTTAATGGCCCAAATAAGTAAGGGAAATAAAATGTACAACTTTTTAAAAACAGCAGTTATTTGGACGCTACTTTCTAAGTATCAGTTCAATCCCTTAAACAGAACTTAAGGTTTTGTGCTGAGGTAAGCAAAGAGACAGAGGACATAGAAGTAACTCCCTAATTTGTTATCAAGACGGTAAGTGTTTCCTTCAAGTTATGTTTTAAGAATGCGGTAATGTAATTGATAAACAATTGTATGGAGGACCAAAACTGAAAAAAAAAAAAAAAATGAAAAAAAAATTATAAATGACACGGCATACACTTAAAATGTATAAGGGCTGAAACACAGAAGAAAACCCCACATGTTTAGAGTTGCTTTTGATTCATTATTGGAACATTGATCAACATGCTTGATGTACATTTGCTTGATAATCTTGATGGCATTTAACAAAATGTAATGTTTATTGCTTGTTCATAAGTGGTGGCTACTATATTATGTTATGGTGTAAAGCACTTTGCCTGCAAGAGCCTTGTTGCTGAAATACGCTTTGCAAATAGGAAAAATACAATAAAATAATATAAATTAAATAGTTTTTAAAATGTTTTCATATTTTTTCCTTTTATTTATAGATGCATTTATGTCTTAATTTCAACAAGTTAAGCATCTGTCCATTTTATTACCCTTTTCCAACTGCAGAAGCAGACCAAAGCTAATTGCTTAATAACTATAGCAACTAAAAATAACTGTACATTTGCTTGATTTAAACTCAAAAGCCAAAGGAAATTAATAGAAAGCTCTCCAGATGTTCAAAATACTAAATTGTGGTTGGGATTTTTCCCCCCCACCAATAAAGATCCAAATCCAAAATGGCTGCCGAGATCATAAATATCCGCATGTCTAACCTTCTCATTCACAGCAATGCAATGGATAAAATGCCCTACAATTTGCTGTTACCAACCAATGACCACAACATGTGGTCTACATCTACATCTGGAATATAATGGTAATATTCACATCTGAATGTAGCTTTTTACATTCCTAGGACAACCCACTAGAGGCCGTGCAGGGCTTCAACATGTAAACATGTTTTTATAAGCACCAGTGGGAATTACCTCGCCCTCTGTCGATGGCTCCAGGTCAGAGTAACGTGACTCACAGATCACATCGTTGATATTTTGTAGAGGACCTGTAGAGACTCCAGGGAAGGAAACATCACAGTCATGAGCAAAGTAGCGATAGATCTGCCAGGTTCGACCAAAATCTGCTGATCGCTCAATAAGCATGGCAGCAGGGCGAAAAGTCTGCAAGAAAAAAAATGCAATGCTTTTTTTCTTATATTCTAGCACTAACTCTAATTTGTTTCAGGAAAGTGAGTGAAGTACCTTTATCTTACCTTAAATGTCATAATTAGATGAGTAAAATGAAACTCTGCCTCAAGATCCAACTCAATAAAAACATTTGACTTTCCTGAGAGAAAGAAAACATTAGTAAGACGGGTATACCCAAAACATTTCTTCCACTCAAGTAGTTAGAAATGAAAATTATAATGGAAATCACACTGCTTTACATCTGCATCAGACGTTCCTCACTGATGCAGTGAGAAACTGCATCAGATTAATGATTAAAACTATTATGATTAGTTTTAATCACTAATCATAATGGCTACAAATTGTGTAACATTGAGAGAATGAAAAAAGACTGGTTAGCAATTTATATCCAGTCATCATTAATGTTGGGTTTCCAATAGTTTTTTTTTAAAGGTGGTAAATGTTCATGCAGCAAATAACTTTAAAAAATTCTAAAGGGGCAGTATATTGTGTAAATTTGACTTTTTGATTACAGTTTGATTACAGTTATAATGTATTTATTCTCTCATCAAAAACATACCTGGAGGGTTGCTTTGATTCTATCATGCATATTTCACAAATACTTTAATCTCCATGGCAACCATCCAGCTGTGCACAACACCTGGGTGGATCTAGCGCCACCTTCAAGGCACAGCTCCTCCTTGGAGCTGCAGTTTCCAAGCTTCTGAGCTTTCACCTCACAGAGCAGCCCTCCACTTTACTCCCCCACTCAACTCCTCAAGACTAGCCAGCAGCAATTAGTAAACACCTGGCGGAACCACTCATCAGCTGAGCTTCTTATCATAGGAGCTTCTGTGAAATGCTGGTAAAAACTTTGCTAAAGGATTAATAGAGGCACCATGTTGTGATGACTTCCTGAAGGCGCTAAATGACAAAGTCATATTTCTTTTAAGTCATATTTGATATGTACTGAATTTTTATCACTGAAGTTAACACAGTTACTTGATTGTGCTATAAAATGGCACTATGTGCCTGGTAAACACATAATATTCCCCCCTTAAAAGCAGGAATCAGGGGAATTGATCAGGAATCAATTTATTAGTAAAACAAGTTTGCACAAAGTTTGGTATTAGATCACTTCGTATCATAAATAGGAGAGCAAGTTTCCCATCAGTGACCCTATTTTTAGGAACAAACCCACATTTTTAAACACAGTCACTCCAGAAACTTTGTATGTGTTTGCTTTATTCATTCTAAAACCAGTTCTGATGTTCATATAGGATAATTTTTATGTTTCATTTATGTTTTTTTTTATTTCTTTTTTTTACTTCACGTCTTAGGGGAAATCAAACCTCCCATCTACTCCCTATTATTTAAACAATGGGTTGCTACTGATGCCAACATCATGTTGCAACAAAAACAAGAATAGAAGCAGAAAGCAACTAAATGAGACTGAAAGGAGCACAGGAAGTACAACCTATTTATACTCCTGCTTTTCCATGATAGCTGTGTGCACACAGACAGAGATTTGATTGTGACATTATAGTGAAGCACAAGAGAAAGAACTGCTAAACCATGCAAGAAACGAGGCTTAAAATCTGAACTGCTATAATCTGAACTTTTTACCATTTTGTTTCTTTTCTGTTTGAGATCAGCAAAACTTTTCATTATTTTGTAATATGGTAATTAAATATACTTGCTGTAGGTCAAGCATAGAAACATGTATTTTGTAGGGAGGCGTCGCATATTGGAAAGCTGCATCTGCTTTGCTTGTCACTAATCTATTTGGTTGGGTGGATGGATTTTTTTAAAACCATTTAAAAGAAAACAGTATTTTCTACAAAATCTAAAATGTCTGGTTCATTGAGAGTGTGTGAGAGAGGAAGATGGTCAGAAGATTACAGGAAGAATACAGGGAGTGCAGCAAAGCTGTTCTATTTTATTATTTCAAACTTTAAACTTGCTTGATGAATTTGATCAACTCAGCAAGCTTTTGGAAAGTTAAAGATGTGCATTCTGAAGGAAATACACAAAGGTTGCTATGTTAGGAATAGACTAGCTAAGAAAATTGGAATGAGGTTTGTTTGTCAAATTAAAAGTTCCTTTTGAAAAAAAAAACCTTTAAGCAGGTATTAAAACATATTTTCCACAAGTTTCTGTACTTTGTATTAAAATACATTTTTGTTAGTCTGATGTAAAATTCAAAACTAAATGTGGTGTTTTTATTTGGCGTAAGCATAAAATCAACATAATTAACAGAAATAAAGGCTCCAATATGTCAGTCTCTGTGGAATTAATCAATATAACGTGTTCCTCTTGTGAAGTGAGTTACTGGACAAGATGAACTTTTCTATATTATAATTTACTGAAATGCCCCTTTAAAATATCAGCTTTATAATTTAATTATAGTGGTTTTATAAAAGACAGTTTAGCAGTGATTACTCTTAAACCTTTGAAGTGATTTTGGATTTTTGATTTGGGCCAGAAAATGTAAAACATTTTTTGAATACGGTTCTGATATCTTCTAATATGATCGCTTTCAAAATAGTCAGAATCAGCACAAATCCGTTTCAGCAGATCAAAACAAAAAAAATGGAGACTGGACACAAGTTGTGTGCATTTAGTCATAAAAAATATACGATTTTTTTCTTATTATTTATTTCCTCTAGATTAACTTTTATCTTTCCATAGGTTTTAATATTCTTTCCTCCTTCCCTTCCTCTGATGAGATGCCACAGCTGGGCCTGTTAGGCTGAGCTGAAGCTCCAGGGAGGATGTTGGCCACAGTGTCTTCATGTCAAATATTTATACTTCTCTACAGCTACAAGTTGCTTCGGACTTGTGGTTGTAAAATACTGCTTCGTCATCTTTCCCTCGACCCCTTTTCATTTTTATCCATTCTTAGATAGTACGAAAAAAGTAGCCACAAAATATAATTTCATTTACCACTCCCTCTGTAATTTACGTGGTTTGGTTAAAACACAAAACACAAGCATCCATTAACCGTTCTCTGACTGCCACCAGGACTTTTTCCGATGTGGTTTGAAGGTGGTGATAACATTCTCTATCCGGTGATTAATGGTGTTGTACACTGGGTCGTATGGTCGTCTGGAGTCACACTCAAAACATTTCTTCTCATCCTGTGGCAGGATAGGACAGCATCAAATATAGTGACAAGAAGAGAGGGAATTCAGGGATCAAATAAAAACAAACAAAAGTAAAAAGATTCTATAGGGAATGACAAACACTCACCTGCAGGTGACTGACAATGCAATATCGCTCTTTTTTTCTCATGCCACAAGTGGACGAGGCCTTCAAGTTTTTTTCCCTTCCAACCAACAAGTCCCCAGTTGCTGGATAACAGCTGCCATGGGCACAGCCGTGGGCTTGGTCTGGTTCCTTGCCAACTGTGGCAGCCAGGCCTGGAGGGATAGAAACCGGCTATGGATCAAAAAGAAAAATGGAGGAAACAGTACTGGCATAATTTGAAAACAGAGATTTATGACATTCATGAGCTGACAAATAATTAGTCTTCTCCTTTCCGCTCCATTGAGGACCAAAAAAGCGAACTCTGGTCTGGCTACAAACTTAGGTCTTGGTTTGGTTGATGTGAATTCCAATGCAGTTCAAATGCATACTGTATGCTGGGTTTCCCCCAGAGTATTATAAGCCTTGCAGGACATCAGGCTTTACTTGCACCCCAACTAGGCAAAGCATTTTTTGTTTATTTATTATAGGCTGCTTTTATACAGAAAAGACAGGTTAAAGAATCTCTTTGGTGAAATGGTTGGAAGTACAATGGCAGCATAATATCCTTGAACAAAGGATCAAAAACAAAACCAAAAAAAAATTAACTTAAACCATGGTAGGCCACTGGTTGACTGGTTGGGGCACAATGTCCAAGCTCTGCTACCATGGAGCTTAGCAAGGTTTCTGAGGGAAACCCTGCATATGAATACCAGCAGACAGGAGACTGCTCCAATAGCAGGAAGTGGATTACAGTGCAGGGGATTGTGCGTAAAAACAACCCAAACAACCCGAGTCTAGTGCGAATGGGAGAAATGACTCATGGGCTTTTGCTAAAAACAAAAGAGAAATCCTACAACTTCTCAAATCTAACAGCACTACATTTTTGTTGTTATTTTGTGAAGAAGGAATTTGTTTTCTGTTGAGGTTTTTGTGTTGTTACCTTCAGTGAATTTTGATGCAGAACTAGGGTTTTTTAACGGTTTGGTTTGACAGTGCCGTGTGAAAGCAAACCGCACCAGCTGAAAATATAACAAATGTTGCAATTCTGGTCCTCAATTGAAGTCTTCTGAGCTATCAAGTGGGAAAACACCTGGTAGTCCTGATAGAATACCTAAAGACTCTGGTAAGTCCACAAATAATCAGTTGACACCAACATAGACAAGGTTTTTAAGACTCTGAACGTGAAAAAGTCCTTAAACACTAAAGGCACATAGTCACAAATAGGAATGTGCAATATGGCATAAAATGTAGTAATGATATACATTACAATAAGTGTAAAATTTACAATATAAAAGGAAAAAAACAATCACATATTAATTGAGTGGAATGTATGCATTATGAGTTAAAACTTGTTTTGTTTTTGTGGATGTTATTTATATGTAATGTTTGTAACTTTAGTTTTATTTTGTTGTAATGATAGGCAGCAGCATAATTTCAATGATGACTTCCTGGATAAATCAAAGCTAAATAAATAAATGAAAAATATCTATAAATTTAATGTAATGGATGTCTGTGTTGACTCCTGCTCTTTCTCCTAAGTGTTGTGACTGGAACTAGTAGTCAGCTGCATTGCTTTGCATCGCTGGGATTCAGGCACATGCTTCGTTTTTGTTTGTATTTCCTCTTTTCCACATACTTTGCAAATTAAATTTTTCTGCTCCTGGATTTACTGTTTAACCCTCCTGCAGTCATAAGACACAGGGTAACCTACCCACAAGTTTTTTTACTCTGTGTGTAGTCCTGCAGGTTCCACTGTGCGCTTTTACGAGTTTGGTTATTTTTATTTGTGTGTGTGTGTGTGTGTGTGTGTG